ATCACCCCAAAGAGAACCCCCAGCCCTGTTGCCCTTGCATTGCTGAGTGTCCGTGGTCTCCCCTTTGGTATTGTGAAGTCTGGTTAATGGATAAGAAGGTGAAGGTGCAAAAAGCCTTAAGAAAATACAGAGTCCAATAATATAAAATTGAGACCATTGTGCTCATTAATTTATTTTTCCCCATCAATTGAGAAAAAAGGGGTGGAGGCAGAGGGGCCCCTGGGAATGAGTGCAACATAGCCTTGGGCTTGTAGCGCTCAGGGATAGAAAATGGAGTCCTGAGACCTGTACCTTTCCCAAGATAGGTAACTGAGGAGAAACAAACGAAGTGACTTAGGTAGACAGAGAAAGAAATGGAGAGATCCTGAGAGGCCTCCTGGAGGAGGTGGCTTTGGGGCTAGGCCAACTATTTCTCATAATTCTGTTGTGCTTTATAGTTTGCAAAGAGCATTTGCAAACATTATGTCCTTGGATTCTCAGGACCCAGGCAGACAGGTGTCTTTATCCTCACTTTACAGAGATAAGGAAACTGAGGTCCAGAGAGGTGAAGGCTCCCGTAAAGAAAGTCCTAAAAAGAAGCAGTGACTAAATCTGGACTTGATCCCAAGCTGTCTGCCTCCAAGCCCACTGCGTTTTCCATTCCAACACAGGCTAGGAAAGAGGAATGTCTAGTGGGGGCATTTGCAGTCGCTAAGACGTGGCGGTGGAGCAGGGCAGGTGTTGGGGGAGCATTGGCAGTAGCCTGTGCCCCCGGGGCAGCAGGGCCAGCAAGCGGACCAGGCCTCCGTGGAGAGTGGCATGATGTGAGCAGTGGAGAGTGGCATGATGTGAGCAGTGACTCGTTGGTGGTAATCACCTGATCACTTGGGTAATTAGCCACGGGGAGTCATTATGTGACTTGTCTCACTTGGGCTGATTAAAGGGCGCTGGCTGCCCAGTAGCAATGGAGGACTGCTGATTGCTGACAGGAGAGCCTGGCAGGCTTCGGAACTTAATTAAGTTTTTCTGGGGTTGAAAACAGCCCCAAGCCCTGGTTGAGGGCTCTATCGGTTCCCAGGGTCCTGGCCTGGCCCTCATGTTCTCATTTGGAACAAGGCCCTGGGTGGATATACACCCACAGAGGGCAGGCAAGCACTCACTCCTTGGTCAGTGGGAACGGGAGGCATAACCTCTACCCCACAGAGCCAGTTGGAAGTAGAGACAGTGTTAGGAACGGCCAAGGTGCTTAGGGGTGTGCCAACCTCTGGTCTTAGATGCTGCCGGCTGACCTGGCAGTGAGACAGCCTCTCATCCACCCACTGCCAGTCAGGGAAAGGGCTAGCTTCATCTCCGCCCTCAGCGGGACTGAGATCTGCCTATGGGATTAGACAAGGTGACAGAAGCCAAACAAACGACAAATACAGAGGCAAATTATAAATACCAATTGTAAAGAAACAACTAGGAGGAAGGGAGGGAGGGTGAGAAGAGAGAGAAGACCTGATTACATGGGGTAGGTACGGAAGTCTTCTCTGAGGACACCACCTTGTTAAACAGATACTGGAACAATGGGAAGGCACCGGCCATGTGAAGGTGGGTGGAGGAGGAGAAATGAAGAGTGTTCCAGGCATTGGAAAGGAGTGTGCAAGAGCCCTGTGGTGGGAAGGACTTTGGCATACTTATGGGGTGGAAAGGAGATAGGCACAGTTGAACCTCAGCAAGCCAGGCAGTTGAGTGGTGACTGCTAAGTTTGGAGGGTGGGCAGGGCCAGGCTCATAGGTCAAAGTCAGTCTTTTGGACTTATTCAAAGTGCGATGGAAAGCCCTGGGAGGCTTTTAGGCTGGGGTGTGCCATGACCAGATCAGTTTTCTCCCGGCTCTGCTACGGGCTGCCCCTTCTGTGCATGAGTCCCACCTGACACTCCAAGCCGCAGAGCAGTTGAAGAGCGGGCGTACCAGGTTAGTGGCCTAGCTCTGCTGCTCAAGAGCGACTTGGAAGTTCTTGGTTTGCTCTTTGTCCACAGGGAGCACTATGATCTACCCTGAGGGACGGTGAAGGGTTAAAGAAGATTTTGTGCATGTGTACCCACACCCATAACCACGCCAGCCAGGCACAAGGCAGACTCTCCAATGGGAGGTTTTAAGTCTTCCTTGTGGCTCTCCTCTCTTCATCATCCTCGGGGGTCATGAAGTGGGGAGAGGAAGGAGTCAACAAAGAACCTCATTTCTGAGTTTTAAAATATTCAAATAAATTAAAACATAGCACATGTCCTGGTTGGGAAGATGAAATATTATAGGATATTTGATATGTTTAAATGATAGGTTTAATCCAACTCCATGCAAAAAAATCTGTTTTTTTTTTAAGAACTAAAAATATCAGTAACAACAGTTGACATTTACTGAGCATTTACTATGTGCCTGGCATTGAGCTTGTGAAGCAGGTATTACTTTTATCCCCATTTTATGTATTCCCTAGGCCTAGATGGGATAAGTAACTTGTCAAGGTCACAGAGCTGTGTTAGATCTGGATGGTCCCATCTTCAAAACCAGCATTCTTAATCCCTATATGTTAACTATAATGTATATGGACACAGAAACCAGTATGGTTACCAAGTGATATTCTGAATAACAGAAAATTCTATGAAGGGCAATATAGCCCTGTTTGATGTTAGAGCCTATTCTAAAGGACTGATAGTTAATCCATATGGTATATGCTCAAACTGAGGTCTGTGAAAAGAAATGAAGAATTCAGAAACAGATCGACCCAATCAAAAGCCTACCATAAAAACAGATTTTACTAAACAAAGGGTAGGGGAAAATTATTTAATAAATGATGACTGCATAAGCAATAAAAGCTGGTGATGTTGGTGATGAGTTGAGTCCATATTTTACTCCACACAGCAAAAGAAACTTGTGATGGATAGTCATCAAAGAATTAAATACAAAATGAAATTTTAGAAAACTAGCAGAAAATAGACCATCGGATGGAAGAAAGCTCAATTTGTCAGCATTCAAGCAATAAAATAAAAAAGGACTAGAATGACAGATTGAACATTAAAATAAAACAAAAAAACAGACTGGAAAACACTTGTATCATCGATGACACAGGAATAATATCGATAATATGAAAAATGCTTATTTAAAGTTAGAAGAGGTTCACGCACCCCAGCAGATGAATGGATATGAACAATCACTCACAGAAAGAGGAATGGATAGTGAATGATGAAGAAAACAGTTATTTTTAAAGTCATCTACAAAAGGCTAAAGTAACCTTGAACTATTAACAGACGCTAGTAAAGTAGGAGAATAAAAGGTGGTACCCACTGCTTACAGATGTGTACCACACATCCTACCATTCCTTCCTGGGAGGCAGTAGTAGCATGAGCCCTGCAACTCTTTGCAAAAGTTCTAGGGCACTGTGGAGCAAAACCCCTCTGCCTTGCTTGCACCTGGTTATTCAACAGCCAGGAATTTGTCCCAAGTGCAGAATGAAAGGACATATTAACCAACAATGGTAAAGAATCCAAATATACATTTTAGGAGACTGAGTGAATGCATGAAGATACCTGCACACCTTAAGAATGAATCGGGAACAAAAGAAAATGTTAAGTGATAGTAACAAACACAAAAGAAAATGTGTGGTTGATTGCAACTATGTAAAGACATGTATATAGATGGAAGGTTTTATTCTCTTCCTAGTATTATGGATACTTTATTTGTACATTTTCCTTTCTCTTGTTGTCAGTTGTCTTTCAAGTGGAGATTTAAAAAAAAATCTGGATTCAAATCCAGCCAGCAGCGGGACTTTGGGCAAGTTTGTCTGTAAAGTGGGGTAATATTTCCCAGCGCGGTGGTGAGGTCAACGGGAAGTAGCCTGAGACCGCGTTTGGGACCTCAAACCTCGTTCTTGCAGTGGGGGCGCCTCCTCCTTCCTGAAAGGTAGAAGACGTCAGCGCCCAGTCAGAGACCTCCCTGGGCCCGGGAGTCCGGGCACTCCTGGGTCTCTGCGGCAAGAGGACTCCCTTCCGGAGGGAACTTTCCATGGCAGGAGGGGAGGGGTCTGTGTGCCCCACGGGGATCTGCGCTCGCTGGGGAAGGGGCGAGCTCGGAGAACATAACAGCCTGTGGACACCTCGGGTTGCGAGTCCAGCCTGCAGCCCCCTTTGAGCTTCTGTTCCGACCCCGGGCCCCCAGCTCTCCTGCCCGAATCCGGCAGCCGTCTTGTGCCCCCTCGCTGGGGCCCCGAGCGGCTGGAAAACTCGGATTTACAGGGCGCCTCCTGCGGAAGCCTGGAGAAACCCAATGCGCTTGGGGGACCGTGCCGACTTCGTAGACAAGAGGCACTTGGGTACCCTTCCAGGTCTCGAAGGACGCACCAGATCCCCGACGTGGGTCAGGCGGGTGGACGCAGCCCTCTCCAGTGGCGACACACGCACACATCTGGGATCAGCCGCGGCTCCGTCCGTTCCTCCGCTAATGCCATCTTGCCCAAGGCGGTCACGTGCAGACGACAGCGGCGCGCTTCGCCCGGCCCGGGAGCCAGGACCCACCCGCGGACACCACTGGGCTCCCTGTACAACCCGAGGTGAGACGCGAGGGCCCTTCCCTCGTGGGTCGGAGAAGGGACAGGGTGGGTGATTGGTCCCTGGGTCGCGTCTCCCTGTCGGGGCCCGACCGCACGGGGTCGCCGCGCCGTCGGGGGCCGGAGGCGCCGCCGCGTGCCCTGCGCCACGGCCTCGAGGATGTCCGTGGCAAGTTGTGGCTCGGGGCACGAGGGGCGGGGGTAGCAGGCGGCGCCCGACCCCGGCCCCTCACTGCCCGAATGCCTCGCATCCCGCGCGGCCCGGGCCGGGCTGGAAGACTCGCGGGCCGGCTAGGGGAGGCCCGGCCCGGGGGCGCCACGCGCGCGGCGCGAGGGGCGCGGGCTGCCGGGAGGAGCGCGGATGGGGGGGGGGGGGCGCGGGCGCATGCGCCCTGCACCCGTGCCATATTGGAATGAGTCGGAGCGCGGAGCGCCGCCGCCGCCGCCGCCGCCTCCGCCGGAGCGCGGGTGGAGGGGGGCGGGGAGAGCTGCCGGCCGCCCCGCTCCGCCGAGCCCAGCAGGAAGGAGGGCGCGAGCGGGCGAGCGCGGGCGGCGCGAGCGGAAAAAGCGCCCGCGCGGGGAAGCGAAAAGAAGGAAAGAAAGAAAGAAAACGAGCGCGAGAGGACGGAAAAGCCAGCGATCGAGCGAGGGCGCGCGCGAAAACTCCCGGCAGGTAAAAAAGCGGGGCCGCCAGCTGGGCCTTCCCGCGCGGCGGCCTGAAGGGGCGGCGGCGGCGCTGGGGCGGGGGACCGTGGGGTGCCCACCTCGAACGGGCCGCGCAACTTTGCCAACGAAAAACCGCCGAGAGCCGGCGGGCGGCGGGCGCGCGGGCTGAGGCGCCAACGGGCGGCGGCGGCACGTTGGGGGCGGGGGCGGGGCGGGGGGGGGGAAGCGCGGCGCCCGCGCACGGCCTCGCGCGCCCCCGCGGCCCCGCGCGCCGGCCGGCCGGGCTGCAGGAGCGCGCCTGGGCGTCTCGCCGCGGCGGCGAGCGGCGGCGGCGGCCGGCGGCCTCGGAGGACCGCGCTGAGCGCGGCAGCCCCGGGGGCGTGAAAGGAAAGTGGCCGGGCGGCGGCACCGGCGGGCGCCCAAGTTCCCCGGCGCTCTGGGCCCGCCGCGCGCCCCTCCCCGCGCGTCCCGCGCTCCCGCCCGCCGAGCCCCCGCGGACCCGCCCCCCGGGCTCGCTCCGGGGCCGGGGCGCGAACCCGCAGCCGGAGCCGGGGGCGCGCTGGCCGCGCGGCGGTCCGAACTTCCGAGGGCCGAGGTGGCCGCTGCGCTGTGGTGGAGCGTCTAGCGGCGCCCGCAACCGGTTGCTTCGGGCCGGCGTGGTGGAGTGCGTCGGGCCTCCCTGGCGCCGCGCGCGAGCGGGCAGTGGGCTCGCCGGGCACCCGCCGCCCGACCCCAGCCGGACCCGCTCGCTCGGGGCCCGGACCTGCGCTCCGGAGGGCCGTGACCGTTTCGATTTCTGTTCTTAAAGTCTCATTTTGAACCGTGAGGAAGAGGCTGTCGAGAGGCGAGCAGAGTCCTGATTCGCAAGGCCTGCTCTGTGGGGAGCAGAAACGCCTTGTGAGAACAGAAATAAATTCCCGCGGAAAGGTTGTATGTTAAGTTTTTAGCAAGATGTCAGCTGTTCACTGGGCTCTAAAACTAAGCTGTAAGGCACAGGTCACCTGCAAGAGTTGTTATGTGCAGGGAGCCGAGTGGACACCCCAGGCAGACACAGAATTTTTGTTTAGTGGGTTTTTTTTCCCCAGCAGGTCACTCAGAGCTGTACTCCTGAACGACCCCAAGTGGTATTTTCATGAGTCCTACTTAGTGATACAGGTCTCAGAACCAAGTAACCATCAAAGAGATTTGAAAGGAAATAGGATGGATTTTGCCAATCCCTGCATATACCTTTTTCTCTTGAACCAGATTTTAAAGATGTCACACTTGACTGCATCACAAGAAAAATGCTTGCCTGCAAATATGATCAATTGTTTGCCAACTGTCCTGAGAGGAAGATGAGTGTGTCTTTGTGTATACACTTTGGGGCCTGTTGGCCTGGTGTTTTGAAGGCTGTGTTGAATCCATCTAGGCCACAGGTAGATCCAGACTTCATATTTGTTTACAGTGTCACAAAAGTAACGGCTTGGTGGAAACCGAAGTGACTCAAGATCAGGAAACAGTTCTATTACTACTGTTGTCATTGACTAGCTGCCTTATCTCTGTATGGTTCTTACCCTCAAGATTTGGTTTTCCTTATTTGCAAAATCAGAGGATGAATAGGTCATCTTTCTGCATGCTTTCGGATCTCAAATTTGGCAACTTTCTAAAATGAGAGATTAAAAAAATCATGGCCTGTGTGTTGACAGGTTTTACATAAAAGTGCTCACAATAAATAGATATTTTATTAAAATGCATTTGGAAAAAACATCTTAGTTGCTACATCTAGGATTATTTTATATCACTTGTTATTTGAACAGAGACATTTACAAATTTATTCAGTGTGTTCTAAAAATTCTATTTTTTTTTTAATTGAGGTCTGATTTACAGTAAGACCTTAAATGTGTATGTATATGCCCTGGTAACCACACTCAGATGAAGATTCACAGAATTTTCAGCCTCCCAATGGGCTCCCTTTACATTCCTCTCATTGAGTAAACACCTATCGCCTCCCTAAGGGGACACCGCAGTTCTGACTTCTGGCATCACTAGTGCATTTTGCTTCGTAACAGGACCCTTTTGACAGTAGGAGTTATATTAAGCTAAAGGACAACAGGTGTGTAAATCTGGAGCTCTGATCATTTTTGCCATGACCCTAAATGCTTTTATAAAAATTCTTACTGCTGTTTACTACCTAGAAAAATTAAAAATTCTGACCCAGGAAACTTCTTAGTCAGAAGGCCATTTTTCAGCTGAAGCCAGGCTTTGCAGATTTGGATCTGTGGTTGTGGGGCATCTTTGTGGTCACCGGCCCAGTATCAACATGTTTCTTCCCATTTTTGGAATACTGATGTCTTTCCAGACAGTAGGTTTGGAGGATGGATCATGAACTTTCCCAACAATTCAGTGTTTACGGTGTTAGTAGATGAATCAGTTCCTTAAAGCCTACAATTTGCTGAGAAAATTGAATGAAAATTGATTTTTTAAAGTTCAGTGAATTAAAGAATGTGGGCATAAAGCTCTAATAACCTTTTAAATGACAGCAATTAACTTGATTTATATATGCAGGATATTTGCCTGTTTATCAAGTCATTAAAACTTTAGTGATGAAAGCAAAAACAAAAGGTAACTAAAAATTATGTCAAGTGTGATTAATTTTTTTATTTCAACATGATTAGGATACCTTTTTAGCCCTCTAGGAAGTTGTTTGTTTGTTTGTTTTTTTAAATTCTTCACTTAAGCAAGTACTTCAGCAATTTGCTTATTCTTCCCAAATGCCTTTTAATATATTCCCGTACATTTTCTTGTTTCTGCTTCTGAAGGAGAGGAGTTAGAAATTGTAAGTGAATTCTTGTTGGCTCTTCACAGTGGTCTGTGTTTTTTATTGCAAGGATGTCTGTGTGATACAAAGTTGGGCACTGTCTAAGGCCTGTGGTAGTGATGTATGGGGGCATAGTCCACAAGTTCAAAGAAGTTCTTTGAGGGGTCTGGGTGGCTCAGTCGGTTAAGCATCTGACTTTGGCTCAGGTCATGATCACATGGTTTATGGTTTAAGCCCCGCTGGTGGCTCTACACTGATAGTGAGGAGCCTGCTTGAGATTCTCTCCCTCTCTCTCTCTGTTCCTCCCCCACTAGTGTGTGCACACGCGCACTCATGCGCTGTCTCTATTAAAAAAATAAACTTGAAAAAAAGATTTTCCTTTGTGAAATGGATTTTGCTGAATAATTGTTTTCTGTGACTAAGCCAGTCAATTGACTAGCCAACAGCTAAGCTAGATTTGGTTACTCCAAGATTCATAGCATCATTAGCTAAGACAGTAATTCATCACTTGGTAAATTGATCCACTGCTTGGTTGTGTGCACCACCTTTTTTTTTTTTTTTTTTAGAGATTTCTTAGCTTAAAATTTTTTTTAATGTTTTATTTATTTCTGAGAGAGAGAGAGACAGCATGGGCAGGGGAGGGTCAGAGAGAGAGGGAGATACAGAATCTGAATCAGGCTCCAGGCTCTGAGCTAGCTGTCAGCACAGAGCCCGATGCGGGACTCAAACCCATGATCTGTGAGATCATGACCTGAGCTGAAGTCAGACACCCAACCGACTGAGCCACCCAGGCGCCCTGAGATTTCTTAGCTTTTACATGATCAGATATTTAACTTAAAACTTACTAAATTTTGCAAGTCGTAACTAAAGATGCAAAATGACAATACATATGAAAGGTCATTTCCTCTTTTGATATTTGTTTCTTTGAATTTTAATTTTTCTCTTTAAAAATGCTTTTCCTGTCCATAACCTTGCTGCTTCTGTAGGATACTTTGGCTTTCACAGTGGTGATAGACTGGCCTTAGCTGCAGAATGAGGGTATAGATATAGGTATCATTTGACTTTAAAGTCTATAGAACAGGTGAACTGTCAAAACTTCATTGCCCTTTTGGTTAAGACTTCATGTTATGCTCAGGTTAAATAAATGAATATGATCCAAAAAGCAGACCATTATGTAGGCAGGTATTTTGAGTGCCAAATATTTTTATATTTCTATATATAAAGAGCACATGATCAGTAAATGGTGTAGCTTTGTTAGGGCAGGGCAGTTATCTTTCTGTAAGTAGCATTTGTTATCTAACTGGGATGCTTTGTAATTGAAAAAAGATTTTTCCTTATACATAGTTGTTAAATTGGGTGAAAGTCTTTGGAGGTTTTGGTTATAGAGAGATTTTGAACCATTAGATTTTAGGGAGTGGGATTTTGATACGATTCTGTTTCTTCAGGTGGTACCAGCCCCATTGGAAAGGATTTAAAATAAAAAGGAGGTGGTCAGGTTGTTGCCAGTTTTTTAAAAATTTCACAAAAGTAGTAGAGGATAAGAACTAAGACAAGTTAATAGAAAAATTATGACTTCACTGCGGAAGTTTTAACAAGTTTGAATGTAAACCTTTGCCTTTAATTCAGATGCACCTGAAGATTTGTGTATAATTAATTTCTAGTCTCTTATCCAAGAGGGTGTTTTTAACTTTATGGAGCTCTCTTAGTCTTTAGGTGATCGCTCAGGGGTGTAATTAAAAAACAAAAGACATAGTCTGTATGTTGTGCTAAAAGATATTAAGTACCACACTTTGTGGTTTGATAGTTTGGTCCCGTCAGAGCCAGGCATTTGGCTGTGCAGGGAGAGGCTAAGAGGGGGCATTTCTAACAGTGTACAGTGCTGGGTGTAGGTTTCTTCTTGACATTTTTGCTTAATTTCAAGAAAGGTTAGTTGCTATAGGAGCACATGCACCCCAATGTTCACAGCAGCACTCTCAACAATAGCTAAAACATGGAAAGAGCCTGAGTGTCCATCCACGGACGAATGGATCAAGAAGATGTGGTTTATCTATACCATGGAATACTACATGGCAATGAGAAACAATGAAATCTGGCCATGTGTAGCAACATGGATGGACCTTGAGGGTGTTATGCTGAGCGAAATAAGTCAGGCAGAGAAGGACAAATATCATATGTTTGCACGTATAGGAGGATTAGGAGGAACTTGACGG